TGGATGGATGGATGGATGGATGGATGGATGGATGGATGGATGGATGGATGGATGGATGGATGGATGGATGGAAGACTCATTCAAACAAGATTTGAATGAAAATGTGCACTTTCTTCCAATCAAATATATTTTATACTTATATTTTTTCCTGTATGATGAAACATTGTTTAGTTCTTTTGTGTTGTAAATTTGTTAAAATTAGTTTTTTTCCTTCTTTTGGGCAGTGATGAACTTTATTTAGTTGTGTCATTAAAATATGTACAATATATAAAACGTATAAAATTTAACAAAGGCAAAGTTTCTTTATTTGTGTGCACCACATGTGATACATGTGGGGGAATGAAACTACAGGGTCCCTACATCCAAAAGTATGAATTGTAAAATAAAAACAGTAATAACAATATAACTAATTAAACTGATTCATTTTTTTATCTTAATTGTTATAAATACAATATAACCTATATTTAGATTATGCAGCGGTTGAGATGAAACCTGTTTTTATTTTGATGTCTTACATTAAGGGTGCAGAATAAATTTAGTTTTTGTTGTGGAACAACTGCAGGTTTTGTTAGAAGACGCCTCTGAGGTGCAGGGGAGGCGCTCACGTGACATCACATCACAATTAAAACTTAATTTAACCCGAGGCTTGGTGGATCTTGGGCATCAGTGAGGATGAGATTGAGCGCGAGCTGTCAGATGATGCAATCCCATCCAGCAGTTGCACGCACGCAGACACCGCGCGGCTCGTTGCATCAGAAAGATGAGTGATCGGAACGTGACGGGGGTCAGGGAGGTGACGGGGGTGGGAAGTGGAGAGAACCGGTTACCGGCAGGAGTGATGGCGCTCAGAGCGTCTTGCATGGAGCAGGGAAAACGTGCGTGTTGTGCGCCGTGAGATCCTCGCAGCCTCCCCCACCCCCTAAAGAAAAGGGACGTGTCTGTGGTCATGTCGGTCTGCCCCGAGTCAGAGCTCTGGCTCTATTTTTATGCCAGGAAAAGGGGGTAATTACAGCGGGACATCTCCTGGAAGCGGCCCAAACAGCCGGCTTCGGCGCGCGCGCACCGCAGAGTCCCCCCTGGAATCAGCGACCCTCATTCCGAGCTGCTATTTCTGAACCTTGGCTTGGTTCTGCCTCCGAGAGGCTCCGATGCTCACACATGTGAAAACCAGAGCAGCCGGTTCACTCCCGGCGCGCCCACGCTCTCTGCGCGCGGCGTGGGCGCGCGTAATTTGCGCTCATTAGGCTTTTTACTTTTAAACTCTTCCCCCCAAAAAAGTTGTGTAAGACGTTTGTTTCTTCTTCTTCTTGAGGGTACAATTATCTGAAAACATGAAAAGACAACCTTGTTCCATAACACAGAGTCTTTGGAGTAGGAGGGGTTCACCTCCAACAACCCCGAACACTCCCCCCTCCCGCGTGACAACCTGTTCGTTCTAGCTCACTCCAACTTCTGAAAACAAACTGGAAGATCCAACTTTAATGCCTCGCTGTTGTTTCTGGGGTGACTGTAGCACCCGCGTGAGAACGGGGAGGGGTCGCGGGGGATGGGGTCCCTGATTGCAACATCAAACCGCGGTGTCGTCACCCGTACGTGCCAAGCACCGCCTGCTCCAACATAAATATTGACGTGATTGTTGTATTCAAATGAGCAGCATGACCGGACACGGATGGGCCAATCAGAGCGCACCTCCACATTACACCTTCTTTTCAGGAATCATTCATAACGCCGATGCGTCAAACACTCACAGAGCTATAAATACGGCTGCGCGCAGCGCACAGTTAGACATCTTCCCCCCAAATCAAACGACGGGCACAGCGGAGCAGCAACCGCGTGGAATCCGGCGTTTTCATCTGCACTTCCTCTGCGGCTCATTTCCCACGTTTGTATCCAGATCATGCCTTCAATGCGCGGACTGCCTGTGCAGCACGTCGTGGTGGCAGCTGTGTGCTCCGCGCTCCTTACTGTGACGCTGGGGTCCCCGGTGGTGGGGCCAGAACCGATCCGGTGCGCGCCGTGCTCTCCGGAGAGGCTGAGCCAGTGTCCTGCGGTGGCGCCCGGGTGCGCCGAGGTGCTGCGGGAGCCCGGCTGCGGATGCTGCCTCGCATGCGCCCTGAAGGCAGGCGAGCTGTGCGGGATCTACACGGCGCCGTGCGGCTCCGGGCTGCGGTGCGCCCCGAGACCCGACGACCCGCGGCCGCTGCACGCCCTCACCCGCGGACAGGCCGTGTGCACGGAGAGCTCCGCGCCGCAGCCCACCTCCGAGCCTGAGGCACAAGGTAGGCCTCCCGCACCTCCAGCTCCACATCTGTGCTGCACCGCTGGATTCAGAGCCTTTCATTCATTCATTTTTCCTTAAGCAGATCAGGAAGAGCCAGAGCCGGAGATGGACAACTCAGCCATCATCTCGGACCCCGGCTCCAGCCACTACCTCCCGGGTTTCAGCAAGCCCCACGACGCGCGGGTTCTGGCCGACGTTCAGGAGAGCATGAAAGCCAAACTCATTGCCATCCGCAGGAAGCTGGTGGAGCAGGTGAGGCTCGGAGGGGGGGGGGGGGGGGGGGGAGATTTTCTGTGATCCGCTGCGCCTTGTGCTGCTCAAAGTTTTGGGGAGGTTTTGAGAGGGAACAGTTGCGCCACCAGGGGGCGCTCCGGTGCCATCGGAAATGTCCGGGGACGCGCTTGTTCCTACAAGTTTTATTTGCACTGTAATGTCAGCACGTGCTTGCTTGCTGCTAATAAAACAGTTATTATTTTAACCCTTTGCTCTCCTGTCCACTCCGCAGGGTCCCTGCCACCTGGAGCTGCAGACAGCTTTAGACAGGATTGCCAAATCCCAGCAGAAATTAGGGGAGAAGTTAACCAGATTCTACCTCCCGAACTGCGACAAGCACGGCCTTTACAAACCCAAGCAGGTTGGTGTCTTCATCCATCCATCCATGCATCCATCCATGCATCCATCCATCCATCCATCCCTTATCTTTGCCCGCTTCTTCCTGGGTGTTAAATCGGCTACAGCTGGCAGCAGTGGCGGAGCTCGGGTTTTTATTGAGGCGGTAAAGGTGGAACATGAGGTTCCATCAGGCTGGGCAAGGTTTATTGTCATAAAAGTCTTTTTTTTTTTAATTAATTTCAATTTAATCAATTAATTTAATTTAACTTAATTTAATGCATTCAGCTTCTATACACAAAATACAGAAGACAAAACTTAATCAGGTGCAGCTCGTCAGCGATTTAATTTAATTAGATAAGATTCGATAAAGATTCACCGTGAAGTTTATTTTTCTTCACACATTTGTTTTGAAACAAACATGAATCTGGTTTCATTCATAACAAAACACTTTTTTCACAAAATATTTTATGCATTTGAGATTAAACAGCCTAAAAAAACAGGAACACGTTGTAAAAAGAGAGAAACTGCATTTTCTGTGCCAACGAGTTTTGAATGACTGGAATGTGCTGAAGCTGAAACTGAGCTGAATGCTGATTGTAGCAAAATGCTAGAGAACAAAAGTGATAAAACTAGCTAAAGGTAGCAAAATGCTAGCAACAAACAGAAGCAAAATACCAACTATATGAATAAAGAACCAAAACTCGAGCTAAAAGTAGTAAAATGCTAGCTGAAAGTAGCAAAACTTTAGCAGCAAAGCAAAATGCTAGCTAAAAATTAAAAGTAACAAAACTGTAAATCGCAAAACATTATTAAACCCTAAAAGTAGCAAAATTGTTAACTAAAAAAAGGCTAACTTAAACCTCAAATGAACAAAAAGCTAGCAAAATGCTAAAAATAGCAAATACTAGTTAAATGTAGCAAATTTAGCTTTTAGCTACAACTAGCACTGGTAAAGGGGGAAGTGAAAGTGCCGAGGTTGGAGAAATTAGACCTGTGATCTTAAGGTTGCTGGTTCAACACCCCGAACCAGCGACATTAAAATGTGGGTGGGATAGGTGAAGCACCCACACCTGCCTCCACCTTCATTTGCCACACGTTAGGCCCTTGAACAAGGCCTTTAACCCCCACCATCTGCTCCCCTTGGCGCTCTACGTGGCAGCTTCCTGCTCCACACAGAGGGCTGTGGTAGCTCACTGGTCTGTGGTTGCATCAGGAAGGACATCAGGCTAAAAACAATCGCCAAGTCTTCATGCGAGTTAGTTCACTGTTGAGACCCCTGAAGAAGGGAGCAGCCGAAAGAAGAAGAAAATAGGCATTAGCAGCATTAGCATTAGCATTAATAGAAGCATGAAACAGATTTGAAGGAAAACAATGTTTTGAATGATATGAAGAGATCTCATTGTGTTTTGAGGATTTTTGTAAATAAAGTAAAATACTATTTTTTTTATGTAAAAATAGTGATAATCTTCAATAAATGGTTAAAATAACACAGAGTCTGCAGAAGTAGTTCGATGCCATAAAGTGGACCCGGTTGGTCCTGCAGGATGGGACATGTGTGAGAAAATGAAAGCAGTGGAGTGAGTTTGTTTGCGTTTCTGTTTCCCTGCAGTGCGAGTCGTCTCTGGACGGACAGAGGGGTCGATGTTGGTGCGTGAACTCCTGGAACGGGAAGAAACTTTTAGGTTCCACCGACCTGCCTGCAGATGCCGAGTGCCCTTAAAGACCGACCTGAAGCAGATCTCAGAAGAAGAAACAAGCCACTGATTTTTCTTTTTCTTTTTGGTAGCTGTTTATTTATTGATCTCGTCCATGGTGGTGTTTAATTCAGGTACACTGTCATTGTGGGACAATGGGCCCCAACCACCCTGAACCCCCCCTCAGCCCCCCTTCAATCCCTGTCCCAAAGAGAAAACTATTTTTTATTTTGCTGGAAAGAAGATTTTAATATTGATGCATTTGCTTCCGCTCTTCAGCCATATTTATTTTTGATTTTGTTTAGGCATTCTTTTTGTCGTTAGGAATTTATTTGTATTTGTAATTATTCATGAGTATTTATATCTTTTTTTTTGCCTTATTGCTATTATTATTTGTATTTGTGTATAAAGTGTGTATATATGTACTTTGGTCCTGAGAAACTCCGCTGCTGAGTTGAGCTCGCTCTGCCCTAAAAGGAGTTGTCTGGAGGTTTTGGATTGTTCAAACCGAGCAGGAACAAAAGCACTGAGTGACCAAATCTCATTTAGTTTTTCTAAATTATTTTTTTAAGGTATTGCCATTTTTGTTTTATTTTTTAATTGTACTTTTGTTTTCTGATGCAATGCATCGGCTCTTGTCAGTGAATGCAAAACTATCCATTGGGAACCCTCCGCGCTCACAGAAAACATTTCCCATGGTTCCATGGGGCTGCAGATAGCATGACAGGTGGCAGCTCGCGCCGCCTCTCAGACGGGTATTTCTACATTAACCTACCTCCAATATTTACGTGTCTGCTGCCATATTTGTGTTGACGTATCTGTCGAGAGAAAAAAAAAAAAAAGACTTGCTATGTTGTTTTGTTGCTGTTCTCTTTGACCACATGACCACAAAGAGCGAGCCCCCGAGGTGAGCCGTGGCGCTCTGGCTCTGTCTACATGCTGCTGTTGGAGAGAGAATTGTTGTGTATGTGAGTCTGTTCCAAAGTGCTCACTCGTGTGTATGTATACTTTTGTAACTGAGCTGTAATGTAAGAACAAAGGTGATATATTTAATAAAAACATTAACCTTAGAGCCGTGCTCCTCAGGCTGGTTTATTTTGTGCACGAGGATAAGAAAAGCTTCCTCATGAGTGCAAACTGTTGAAATTAGGAGCTTTTGTGTGAAAACACAACGCCAGGGAGGAAAGACATCAGCAATGATCTCAAAAGCAGCTGTTGTTGCCCATCAATATAGGAAGGGTCAGAGGTCATTTAAAACTTAATGAGTCCCTGTAAAAGGTTTTTTCACAAACTGAAAACATTTAAGGCGGATCAGCTGGTAGAGTTGTTGCCTCTCAGTGAGAAGGTCGCCGGTTCAAATCCCGGCCGGGGGACTTTCTGGGTGGAGTTTGCATGTTCTCTCCGTGCATGCGTGGGTTTTCTCCGGGTACTCCAGTTTCCTCCCACAGACCAAAAACATGCACGTTAGACTGATTGGTAACTCTAAATTGTCTCTAGGTGAGAGACACTGAATGGTTGTTTGTCTCTAGTGTCCCTGTGATGGGCTGGAGACCTGTCCAGGTGTCCCCGCCTCTCGCGCAGTGATAGTTGGACATGGGCACCAGTGGCACCAGTTACCCATGTGACCCGAACAAGAAGGAGGGATGGATGGAAAACATTTTAGAAAGCTGCCGTTCTTCAGGAGTGGGAGCAAATTCACCCTGAAGGTCAGACCATGCAATGCTTACAGAAATGAGCTCCATCTCAGACTCTACAGACCTCAGTTAGAAGGTTAAAGGTCAAAGTTCATGGCTTGTTTGGAAGGGTTGTGTGAGACAAAACAACACGGCAGCATGAATTAGGTTTGTAAAGTTTCATATGAAGGAACCACAAGACTTCTGGAACAACACAAGACAAAAAAATACATATGTTTACCCAGAATGCTCTGCAGCAAACAGCTCAGCTGTCAGCACGGTGGTGGAGGGCTGATGGTGTGGGCTCCTGTCAGTCACAGAGTGTCCCATGAATGGTTCTGGTGTCAAATGTGACCAAACTGTGTCCAACAGGACCATGATCCCAAACACAGCAGCTGATCTACAACAGAACGGGTCAAAAATAACAGAACCGACGTGTCCAGAACAAAGTTTGACTGAAATGCTGTGGTGGACCTTCAGAGAGCCGAGCAGAAACCTCAATGATGGAAAGAAGAGTGGGTCACAACGCCTCTACGACCACGAGACAGACAGAGCAAACCTGCTGCTGGATCAGAGGCAGCTCTTCCACTTTGTTTTTGTTTACTAATCTTTTGTGTTTTTGTTTACCCGAGTTTAGATTTGCATCTTCTTAAAACCCAGTAAATACCTGATCAGGTTTGGTTGCTCAGTGATGTGTAAAAGCCTCAAACTGGGGGAGTGTGGACTTTCTATTTCCCATGACTTCAAGTTTCCAACATGTGCTGTGTTGTTATCGCAGAGATCTAAAGTGCAGGTTGTTGTCTAACTTTAGCCAGTTCTGCCTTTTGACCCGCTCTCTGTTTGCCTTGGTCGGGCACAGGAATGCGCCTCAACCTCTCGTGCCCACTGCCAGCCTGCCTGGCACCAACTGATTTATTTTTGTTCATTACAAATTGAACCCTTTCTTCATCCTTATTGACACATTCCAGGACTGAGGGGAGCCTGATTGCATTCGAGGGCAAAATTTTTTGCAGAAACAAAAATGTTTACAAAAAAATAAAATAAAAAAAACCTCAAGACGCTTTTAAAATGTGTTCACTTTTTATTAAAAAACAAACATTAAATACAAATTATATTTTGATTCCAAATCATTTTCCTTTCCTTGGTGAACGCATGAGCTTTATGATTTGCAGCTTGTACCGTGAAAAGGTTTAAACATGTTACCCGTGAACAGAGAGCTTCAACTCGAGGAGTACCAAAAAATCTAAAGTTTCACCGAAGTGTGACCCTGGCTCTGCACTTACACACTGAAACAGGATGGCTGGGTGTGCACGGAGAGAAGTGGCGTACTGAGACTCACCGTCCTGAAGGGGCCAGAACCCCCCACTCCCACCCCAACAGCTTAACGTCGCCTGGGGGGGTGCGGAGTTGAACAAGATCAACGGTTCTTTTCGAAACAAAACATTCATTAGTGATTATATTCCCCAAAATACACTGAATCATAAAGACTTTGCTGTGCAATCGATGAGTCACTGAATCTTTCAGAAGAAATAGTTTGATCAGCTTATATTCCTTTCATAGATAAATAATTTTTATTTTTAAGTACTGTACATGATGTCTAGTCAGACACAAGGCTGGCCAGAAAATACTACTAATAACAACAATAATAATATATAAAAAGACACATGTAAAAATATCAGAGAGGGAATAGCTTAAACATGTTTTATGTACGTTCCTCTCTTACATCAAGTCTTTGAGCGGGTGGAGGTTTAGCACCAACATGCTGCTGTCTGAGCCCATTTGGTGCTACCGAGCTACCGGGCAGGTTCTCCTGTCGTCTCCTCGGTTCAAGTCTTTACACAGGATGTGGGAGAGCATCGGGCCGGAAGCTCCGCAAGGGGACCACGTCTCCTCTGTAAGACCCCCCCCCCCCCCTGCCATTTATCCATTTATGTCAATGCATATTTGGTGCTGCGTCCACCTCGTGGAGATTTGTTGGCATGCGATCATACAAGCTTTCATGGTTTTAATTTCAAAGAAACACAAACGACAACAAAAGAAAATAGTTACACTGAATGGGAAAAGTTGCTGTCAGACG